CTTCTTCTCCTCCTCTCTCTCTCTCTCTCTCTCTCTCTCTCTCTCTCTCTGTCGTTTCAAAGAGGTAAGGCCGTTATTCTATTGCGTCGATGTAAATAACAGCAGTGCGATGTGTCATTTGCCTGCGTTGCACGATTGAGTGTAATACAAAAAGAATTTATGTTAACCTGCTAATTTTAAGTAAATTAAGTCTAAAACGCACAATTCTATTCCGTTCAGTCAGTGAATATAGTCTATGAGTATAGTCCAGTCATATGTGATATTTTTCGAAAATAAAAGAAGTTCTTTTTTTATTTTGCCGATTAATATATTTTTGGCATAGCATCGCCTGATTGATTTTCACGACAGGAACATTCTTAATGTAACGGATTTACATTCGCCTTCAAATTTCTTAGTATCGGGATCGATACCTCAACATCTTTCGCGCCGTCCGTCGTCCCTCTGGGACTTCAAGACGATAATATAATAATGCAACCTTTAGTCCATTCTCGACCTAGCAGTAACGCAGTCACGTAAAGCAAACGCGCGACCGGTTACGCGATCGAAGCTCTCCCAAGACACGTTCGCTATGTTAATCGCGCATGATCGTATAAATATTCAAGCGTCGCTGGACCGCGGCTCGGACGGGCCTCCGACGTGCTACCGGTGGGCTACCTTATCCATACTACTACCTGTCGCGCATAGGTAATTAACAATGAAGGAATGACGTACAAGTCGTCTCGCTCGCGGCGATCGACGATTGCTACGCGTAAGAATGTAGCGCTTCGCACAACGTTTGTTCTCGGCACTGTGAACGATGAGAAATTAGCCATTAACCTCGATATGAAAACTCCGAGGTGTTCGAATCGAAAATTACTCTTGACGATTTCTCTCTGTCTCACCGGAAATCGTGACTCTCGTATAGATTAACCGACCGGATATTCCAGTGATATCGCTCGAACATCGATGAATTCATTGAAATTCCGTCGATCTCCGTGTATGTTATCGCTTGATAGAGACGCTCGATACGACAAGACGCAAGGATCTTGCATCTCAATTATCCGGCGAGATTCGAGCGAAACATCCTGCCGAAAAATCCGTTTGCAAACGGCAATTCCGGGGAAACCAGTTTGCCAATTGCCGAACAGCGAATGCGAATCGGAGCTGCGAGTTCATACCGGTTCAATCTCGTCGAATGAGTTAAGGATCTTTATTCCGCACGGGAGGATGCGACTAATTTGCGAAGCGAGACGTGATGTCAGCTCGTGCGTTGCTCGTGCATCCTTCTTTCGCGACTCCGACACTAATGAGACATGCAGACGTGCAATTTTGCACGTCCTCCCCGCTTCTGTATCCCGGTCACACGTAATTTTATGTGAAGTAACGGAGAATCTTATAAATTAGTCAATAAATCATATATTTATACAAAATAATTAAATGAATAATGCTATTTAAAATGTTTGTCTAAAAAGAATAATCAGACCAGCTAAATAAAGATCAAGAAAGTAGAAAAATATTTAATATTTAAATGAAATTTTTATTGCCTTTATTTGATTCTATTGTTTATTTCTTTTTAGGCAAACATTCTCGATCGGGGGTCTTTGCATCGGAGCGATCTAATACCGAGAATAGCAGCGTGAACTTCGCCGGACTCGATTTAACTCGCTCAAGTACTCGGAATGGTTATTAATTATCTTCGTGCAGATGTGTCGGCTAATTGGACGGCGTTGTATGTATCTGACGGACGAGACAAGCAAGACGTGAATTTTGATTCATCCTGGATCAGCGCGAGAAAGTTATCGTTATATAAAAACGTCATATAATTTTTCTTGCTCGTGAACTAAATAATAAAGTTTATTTTCAAAAGAATTACCTAAGAAATTTTTCTAACACTTTTCAGAGGAAAATATCTCAGTTAAATAAAAAAGTTGCTTTTGAGCGGAGAATATGAGAAATGTTAGGGCCTACGATAGAGTAAATATTAGAAACAGGAATTTAATAAATATTAAATTTTGGAAATGAAAATTCGGAATGAAAATTAAATGTAACGCACGATGTATATAAATAAGTATAAAATATATCTTATATTTATTGAATTTTTATTTCTAAAATTTAATATTTATTCCTACTCCTAATATTTCCTCCATTGTGCGCAAGGCTTTAGAAAAAAGATAAAAGTAAGTATTACAGATATTATTAGAAATATTATAATTTTTTATCTAAAATATATCTTTCAATATTATATATAAACCTATTATAACATAAAATTCGACATTTAATCTTGCAGAAAACTAGTTTCAAGTAGATTCCCCTCAGTTTATTCCGACTCATCTAATTTTTACGAAGAGGAGAGAAAACGGCTGACCAGCGACGAGGGGTGAACAATTCATTGAACGTCGCGGTATCCCGCGCCCGTCGTCGAATGCATGTCGATGAGGCGACCGACGAGCGACCGTCGTTGCATCGCCGTGAGAAATCGAATTCCCCGAGCGCGAATGTATCGCGGTCGCGTGCAGAATTCCGAGCGGGGCCACGTCCGCATCGGGATGCATCGCGACGACACGACGCGACGCGACGCCCGCTATCGCGGGAAATAATGGCGGGCAACACGCCAGCCATGCGGATCGCGGATCCGCTCGGCGTTGCACTAACAATGCGGCGCGAAGAGGTACAATCGCGACAGTTGCATTCTGCCATTATGCCGATAATGCCGGGCTTCGCCATCGGTTCTCTTTTTACGCGCCGGCTTGTCATTACGGAAAGCTCGGGCGTGGAAAGACAATGCGAGAGCGATCGGAGGAATTGGAACGCGCAATAATGAGCGTGATGCGGTCCCCGTGCGGAGATTGCGTTGGTTAAGACACGGCGTTATCCCGTTATAATTGTCTTTCTAGAAGTTATTCGAAAAAAAGCGTCACGTGTATTCCGCATTTCGCGCTTTCTGTTTGGAATAAGACAGACTGACACTTTTCAAGCTTGGATCTAATGCGAATTCAATTTATATAATATTAAAATTCAATTTGTCATTAGTTAATATTTTAATGTGTCGCATACAATCGATAACTTTGTCGATACCGCGTGTCGAGGCTCTCACAAGCCACCCTCAGGAGATGGAGCGTCAGCCGTTACCGACGGTATACTCCAAAGGGGTGTCGAGTGGCGCTGGAAGCGTTGGGGGGTGGCGTCGGAGCGGCTCGCGCGATCAGCAGCGGGTGGCAGTACCCCCTACGCGAGGGGAAGCGAATCGTAAGATCATCCGGACGAATAGACCGACGGACGGAACTGCCTGCGGTGCTGTCATATGGAGCCGGGCAACGGGACGGCGCGTTAGGCGATCGGCGGTCCCGCTTCCGCGGGACGAGCGCGAAGGCCTACCACGAGAAGAGCGCGAATGATCGATCCGACAGTTCGGTGAGTGAGCGAACGAGTGACCCAAGTATCGCGGAAAAGCGCTACGAGGAAGGAAGCAAGAAGGGAAGAAAGGAAGAAAGGAAGGAAGGGTGCCCACGGGGACGATTGGCTTCCGAGTGCACGCGTACTCGTCGGCGCGAGGGACCCAGAAATGGGTCAACCCAACCTAACGGAAGCCGTTTCCTCGCGCGAGTCACTCGGTGGCCTAGTTTCCGGGGCGAGCAAATAAAAAGAGTCGCGACGTTCCCTCTCTCACCCGCCACACCGCCGTTGCCGTCGCCACCGCCACCGCCACCGCCACCGCCGCCGCCGCCGCCACCGCCACCGCCGCCGTCGCCGCCGCGAGACGGCGGCGACGTTACATGCGTCTCGTCGTCATTGCCGTCGACGACGACGCCGCTGATCGCGAGGATCGGTCTTCCATCTGTCGCGGGAAACGAGTTATGGACTGCCTCGGACTTCCTGCTGGCCTTCGGCTGGCGAGAGTCCATCGATTGACTCGTCGCTCCGACGTCGCGATACGGCATTAGACGCGGCTGATAGCCGCTGCGGAAGTGAAATTGCTGAGGTGAGAAGCTTTTAGGCGCAGCGTTTGGCTCAAATGGATGGATGAGGGTACTTCCCGGGGGAGAGAGAAAGAGAGAGAGAGAGAGAAAGAGATGCGTTTTTACGGATCTAGTCCAATTGTCCGTTACCCCGAATCGATTACGATGCAGTGAGCACGATTAATTGAAGCTGGTGATACTGTAAATCAGATGCTGCGATTATTTTAACGTATTTATCATTCAATCGTTATTTAAAATATCGGTGAAGGAGAAAAGAGTTCACTTCTTCCGGGAAAGAATCCAGAACAGGTGTATTCCTTAGAGATTACTGTTATGATTATACTATATTACCAACGTATCGCGTGTTCACAGTCGTTGAAAGGGATGCCCTCTGTTCGATTGCATTTCCGAGAGAAAAGGAAATGTAGAGAGAAGTCGCGAGCAATGCCTTGATAAAATTTTCCAAATGTTCATTCGCACATCATCGTCGCAAGTCCATTTTAAATCAAGAAAACTCCATTGCCTCAAACGCAGCACAAATATTCAAAAGATATTCTAGAGACATTTACAGATGTTCGAATATTTCTAGAATGTCTTTTGAACATTAATGCTGTATGAGAAAGCGAATGGTTCGCGCTTCCACGATGGTGCTTCCGGAATCAGATCACAGCAATAAATCTAACAGTGTGTATTAATCAGATTTAAGCTGGCACACATATATACGTCTGGTTAATTGGATCAGTTAATTGACAATTGATTTCCATGGAATTGTTTTCAACACGAACAAATCGATCAGAAGATTGCGAATTCGTTTGCCGTAAGATATCCCGCGGCGATATCGATTATCGGAAAAAAAGAAATAATCGAAATTATGCACATAATGCCAAATTATCCATCACGTAATTATCTATCATGTGCTAACCCAACATGTCATAAGTGGTTTTAAAGAATAATCACGACCTGCGACCTCACCCTCATTGTTCACATCGTGCTCGACGTTCGATCGGAAACGTTTCTTAATCCGGAAATGTTTTTCTAACTTTTACGTTTTGTTCTTTCAAAAAAAGATGGAATAAATAGATGAATCCGAGACAGAGAGAGAGAGAGAGAGAGAGAGAGAGAGAGAGAGAGAGAGAGAGAGAGAGAAGTAAATATGATAATAAGATAAATAGTAATGATTTTTATTCTATCATTATTATGTCATTTCTTAATTAAAACATACATTACAGTTTGTGTTTTATAAATACAAATATATAAATATCAAAATATTTTATAATTGTACATAAGTTAATTATTATTTTTGCTAAATAGAACATTGCTTTACGCATCTCGCATTTACTGTTACTTTATATCTCTATCAATATAATTAATGAAGAGCTTCCAGTAAAATGATATTTACATAAGGATTACATAAGGACATTGTGTTTCCCGATCCGCCGTTATATCCCTCCATTATTTATCCCGGAAATTTTGAATGAATCCCAGTTATCCGTCAGGGTCTGCGCGCGATGATCGACGCTAAATTTATAACGACAGTGTACATCTTCATGCTTCCTTTAATCATATTTAACTGGATTTTCTGATAAAGGATCCGAAAGGCTGATATCGTGAAAATGGCGTCCAGTAAACCGCCGGAGATGAACTACACGTGTGAGATTTGTGGTCTGGAGGGCTTCAACGACGAAGAGATGCGCTCGCACATGGTGCAATATCATCTGCAAGGCGCCGCCAACTGCCCGTTCTGCGACCTGGGCGAGATATCGCCCACGGAGATGCTGGTTCATGTCAATAGCGCTCATCTGGATTATCTGACTCCGAGGTATGTTAAAAGAACAAACTGATAGAATAGCGTTATTCTTTCAAATTTTATTTCATGCATCTCTCTAGAAAATGGGAATATAAATTCTTTTCTTAAGTTAATTACAATTAATGTTCTTTAATATTATTATAAGTATAAAATCGAGATTAATTAAATCAATTACATTTTATAAATAAATTATATTAAGAGTTACTAGTAAATTAGAGTTATTCTATATATCAAAAACTAATATATTGAGGATACAGAGAATTCCCAATTCCCAAATCAAATAAACTTTTTATTCCCAATTATCAAATTAACTTTTATGATACTTTTTCTTTCCCTAACGAAAATAATAGTCATTCAATTTTTTTATACAATTTTCAATTTATTCAATATTCCTCTAATAATATTACAAATTGCAAAGAATTAATTTTTCTAAAAGTTTTATAGATAAATTAGAATGCTTGATAAAAATTAAAGTTCAAAAATATAAAAGGTATAATTAAAATAAAGATTGGATATTGTTCAGTCAGTTAATTTTATTGTGCATATATCTCGACTAGAAATCCCTGTTTAGTTCGGAGTCGAATTTATCGGCAATTATCTTTAATTATAACAGTTTTGATCAGTTAATGTTGCATTTAGGACAATCATTTGAATTATGCATAATTTTATTACATAAAATGAGTCTCGAAATGAACGAAAGATGTCGTCACTAATCAATAAGCCTCTAAAATTTTATAAGCGTTTGCATTTACAAGAATAAACATGCATTTTCCTATATAATTACTAATGATTAGCAACAATCATTTATTGATATAACTATTGCAAATTGATGTTCACCAATAATGTTGACGTGCCAGTAAATTGTAGTTACTGTTACCGACAACAAAGTTACCAACAGTGAATATTATAATGCCGAAATATTGCCGATAATATCGTCAATATTTTAATTCCCGCCAACAAGTCACATGACCAAATCGTAGTTTAAGGTCCGAACACAACGAAAGAAATTAGAAAAAAGTTAAGAAGAAAAAATTAGGAAAAAAGAATTAAATTTTCACTACCAACATAGAGACATTCACATTTTAATAATCAAGGAACACTATTCTTTCGTTAATCGAAAATAATTTTTTGTTTCTAACTTATATTTAATTCTTTATTCCTTATTCATTGTGTTCGGACCCTTAGAATGTTCGCCATCGTGGCGGGAATTGGACGTTACAGCTGATAGGCGTATTGTCAACAAAGGCTGCATTCCAATATTCATTGTCAGAATACTGAGAATATAGAATATAGTTCATATCACGTATATTATAGATTTGTAGCAAAGTATACTCGTGTGAGCTGCTGAATTCATTTTAATGAAATAATTCAATGAAATAACGCAAACATTAAATCTTGGGCCAGATTTCATGTGGGAAAGAGCGAGAAAGCGGCGGCGCATCGAGAAACACGAGTGAGATTTTTTGACTGAAATGTAATATACGTTTTATGAACTCAATTGACAACTATTTTTGTATCTGCATTCGCACGTACATAAATTTTGTTGACGCTTGACCGTTAGCGTCAGTGATCGGAGATTAGCATTAACACTGTTGTCTGTATATTTACAGTACTCCAGAGAACGATATGATGGCGTTCATCGATGATGATTCGCTGATGGATGAGCACAATAGGCGCGATGAATGTCGAGCACTCTCGCCATCCATGTCCTTGCGACCGCCTCATCTGCAGAATGGCTGGGGTAGCTCTCTAGGGCAGCATATCAAACAGCAGCAGCATCAACAACAACCGCAGCAACAACAACAGCAGATATCGAGAAAGCCGGATGTCCAAATGGCAAATCCCAACGTGAATAATAATAACAACAATAACAACAGTAACAATGCCAATACTGGTAACAAATACTGTACAGACTGTATTCAATGTTAGAGCATGGATGGAAATGAGATTGTAACTTCTTTTTTTTTAGTATTGGAAGGTGCAGCGGGACAGGGCTCACCATTACGCTCAGGCCTAAATCTGCAATTGCGCTCGCATGCTTCCCCGAAACTTCCAGTGCAGGAATGTCCAATGTGCCCCTATAGTTCCGACAGTCCACTGAGATTGGAAGAGCATATCAATCGCCAACATTTTGATCTCACCTCACCGTCTTTCCCGCCAGAATCACCGCCATTGCGAGACGGAATCTTTAACTGCCCCCTTTGCGTCACATCTTTTCCAAATTCTTCTGATCTTGAATTACATGTCAATATCGAGCACAAAGATATACTTAGGTATGATATCTATCCTGTAATATCACAATCGCTATGACTATGAAATCACATGCTCAATCAATAGTATAATTACAAGAAAAATTTAATTAATTCGTTTTTGTTAGTCCTGCAAATGGAACGAGCTCACAATCTGATACGGCTACCATTGGTAGTGATTCGACATCCGCCTGTCCAGTATGTCACAGTACATTATTTAAAAATAATGACGACCTAACAGCGCACATCGAAGAACACTTTAGCAAGAAGAGCACACCGTCGCCTGTAACGCCAGATGTCTCGACCGATCGTATGCTAGCGAAAGATATGGAGAGGAGAGAAAAGGAGGTGAGGAAACTGCGCGAGCAACGTGAATTCGAGATGTTGAGAGCGCAATATGGCATGGACAATCAGGGTAACTTCAGAGAACAGAGTGTCACTAACATGCAGCGGGCTGTATATGCGGGCGAGATGACAGTAGCCGATTTCTTTGAGAGGCAAATCGAACTCCGAGAGGCCGAGAGTAACGGTATTGATGATGGCAGCTCTTGTACACGCGGTAAATATGATTCATGATATCCTTTTGTCCTTAAAAAGAACTTAATTTTCGAGAATTTTCGTAACGTTACTTATTCCTTGGCAGGGCTGGTCCCGAAAGTACGAGCCATTAGTCAAGCTTGCAGTAATGTAGTAAATACCTGGATGTGTTCCACTGTGGACCATTACGCATCAACTTACGGCGACAAGGGCTGGGGATGCGGTTATAGAAACATGCAAATGCTAATTTCATCTCTCTTGCAACATACAGGATACAACGAGTTAGTTTATAAAGCATGGAGTTCCGGAGCCGACGGCAATAGTTCCACAGAGAATCCTTTACGCAGTTCCATGCCGTCGATCTCCAGATTGCAGAAGATGATCGAGTGGGCATGGGCGCAAGGTTTTGATATCCAGGGCGCAGAACAACTCGGTGGTAAACTCGTTAATACTAGGAAATGGATCGGTGCCACGGAAGTATTCACGCTACTCTCTAGTTTGAGGATAAGGTAAGTTCCACACTTGTGATCAATTGTAAAAATCATACGCCACACTATTCTGATTTCGTACAGGTGTCAGCTAGTAGACTTTCATAGACCTACCAGCGTGGATGGAAGCCATCCTGAATTGTTCAACTGGGTCTTGCAGTACTTTCAACGATGTGAGGACTTCAAACCACCTCTTTATCTTCAACATCAAGGTAAACATCAAGGTGTTTTTACCTTTTCGCGTATACATTCGGAAATTAGAGCCAAGCTAAACACATTCAACATTAATGAATGCAGGGCATAGTAGAACGATCATGGGCGTGGAACAACTAAGAGACGGTTCAATAACCATGCTAGTATTAGATCCGAGTCATAGCCCGGTGCAAATGGCACATTTCAATAGTACGAGTAGCGCGCCCGGTGCGATGAGGCTCGTGCGAAAATCCACCGCGGCAATGAAAGCCAGACAGTATCAAGTTGTGGCTGTAACCGGTACTATGGATACGGAAGCGCAGTACCAGGTAATATAGGGTAGCATTATGAATTACTTTGAATTACTTTTTATCTTATTAATAGCACGCACGATGCGTCATTTCTCGTGTCTCTTTTTCTTTTTTAGCAAAGTAAAGTACTACGATCGATGCGTGTTCCTCAAGATAGGTGAGAGTTGCTGGTCCGAGAAATCGAGTCATGGACGAAGACTATAGACTACTGCCTCAAACCAATCTTATCCGGCATCCTTGAAATTACGTGACCGCGATGTCTTATGTTCTTCTATCGCTAGCAGACTTATATTCCATATAGCATATTATATATAGTTGCAGATCGTATTATTTAACAATATATTCTTGCATTTCTTATAGACGTTGACAATGAACTGATCCTTTGAATCGTATCCGCGCGAAGCCTGTGACGCAGAGAAAATAATTTTATGGAGCTAATATTTAGATATCAAAAGAAGGCTCTTCGTCGCGTTGTTGAAATCGAGCACATAATTTTTTTTTTTTGAACGGAGAAAGTCGCGTAAATTTCTATATACAAAGAGAATTATCAGATCGAAACGGCGAAGAATCCATGAGAAGATAATTAAATCGACTGTCATTTCTTGTCCAAATGTTCTGCTCAATTTTCGTCGCACCGAACAGGCTGTGCTAATCCTTAGTCGACCAATCGTCTTGTGCCGATCGGTTGCACCATCGAAAAAGCTGTGGCAGAGCTTGAAAAAACGAGACTTTTTCGTAGCTGTGATGCTGTTATCAATCGATGCTAATCACTCACATATGTCTAACAGATATCACTCTTGGAAACGCTCCAGAATCAATGCGGAGTTCCCAGCATTTATCTCGTTCTACATCCTACAAATCTGTGACAGAAAATTTCCACCTAAGCATTGTCGACTTTTAGTCAATATAAAAAGTGCCGAGAGCCGTATGGTGTATACCTTACGACAAATTTTATACAACAATAATGAAAGATATTCTTTGACGTATTTTGATTGCTAAAACGCTTCTACGAAAGAATCTGGAGTGTCTGCAAAAGTGACCAAAAGTCGCATTTTTTCATATATTATATACTATATATAAATACACACATACGCGCGCGCGCGCGCGCGCGCACACACACACACACACACACACACACACAACATACGCTACACAGAACACATTATATATACATATATTACACATCTGCACACTCTTCGTTATATTGTATTTCACTTGCCCACACATAAAGTACAACTACTTTCATATTAATTAAAAAATATTCTATTTACTTATCTAATCGATTTTAGGCTACTTATGTCTTAGCTTGTAAGTCCAACGCAATGCTGTGAATGAGAAGATAGATGAAAAAAAAGAGTCCATATTACTAGTTATTTATATTATATACTTGACAATTATGTGAGTTAGTAAATTATTATTATTACTCTTATCATATTTCATATAAATTGTACTGATATATTTAAGATCTATTTATTATAGTTAAAAATATATTTGCGACCATTCTATAAGGACATGATACCTCACGAAAGTATCCGCGCCCGTTGTTTTATAGCTTCGATATCTATGGTGCACCAGTCAAATGTAAGTTTATCTTTCAGCCCAGTAGGACCATATCACAATATTTATTGACTGGCCATAAAAAACTGTCAAAAAAAGATGGTTAAATTATAAATTAATACTGGAGATTTCGCCATTTTACCGATTTAAGAATCTGTTCTTATTTGGAGTGTTCAGGGAAATCAAGTTGTGGAATTGTTATGCAGGAGTAAAAAAAACCTTTGCATTAGCCACACATCAAATTAAAATATATGCTTTGTTAGAATTCCCAACAAGAATTTTCTTTTCTCTTTCCTATCTCGAAGAAAATAAACAATGAAAAAGACAACAATGAAAAGAAATAAACATTGAAAAAGATAAGATTTGTAAATTTGAGTTTCGGATAAATTTTATTGGAAAGATGAATAGATATGATTTTTACTTTTTATAAAATTATTAACTACTACTTTGCTATTTCTCAGCGTATTAAAATCTATTTAGATTACATTAATTTGTAACTTTACAAACATAATGCTTTATTCTCCATCCAATCTAAAAAATTATTTACAAAAACATACATAGATACATTGACATGTAAATATGGTTATGACCTGAGGTTTCTCAAGATTCTTTGTCGAGTACACTTTTTGCATTTTTTTAGCAAAGATATCTTTGGTGTTGAAACACTTTTATCAATCTTCTATATCTTATATATTAAATCCCATTGATCTCATACAGACTTTGTGTGCTTCTATTAGATCGCTACAATTTTCCTCGCCCTTTTCTATGATACTGAAAATACAAAACATTGATATAAAAAAACTTGTCATACAAACAAAATGGCACCTCACAAAAAATATAAATAAAAATATATTTTGTTAAATAAAATCTTTAAATAGAATATGTAATACTATTAACAAATATATACTAATTAATAATTAAAAAATTCTGCGTAATATGAAATAAAACATTTTCTTAACCTATAAATGCACAAAAATATACATGATCATATTATTACCATGCGTCCCTCGCTTTTTTTGTCTCAGGACAAGCGCAGCAAGGTTTCAATTTTTTTTTCTCTTCCGGTTTCGCTTCTACCTTCTCTATCGCATTTCCCATTTTTATTAACTATGGAAGAAACTTTTTCCGCTCAATCACGTAATATCATGTGGTGTCAATTATAAGGATGTGAACGCCCCTTTGCGACAAATTGTACAAAGCTTCAATAACACATTAACAACAGTTAGTAATTAATAATATAAAACCAGTAATTTAATATAACAATAATCGGCAATATTAAAGCAAAAACTATATTATCGACTGTTGAAAGTTAAGTATTAAGGGAATGCTGGACTGACGAGCGAAAACTAACGAAAACGTTTACACATATGCACATCTACCATAGATACATTTATGTATACATACACTCATCATATCATTCTGTACACATATGATACACATATGAACAAATTTTTATGATACTCCTCTGATCGTAATAAATGTCTAAATCTAATTCTAAGAACTCAACGTTGCTTCTTCATGTAACCTTCTAAGCTAGCAATATCAGTTTTGTAGGTATAGGTTTCATATAAAGCGAATATTTACTCAGCTTTGGACGCCATTTTAAGTATCAAATGGTAAAAAAGATCTACATTTAAAAATTTTTCTCGTTCTTGATACGAAATTCATATGCTAAATAGGTAATATTAATGCATAAAGTTTAATTGTAGAAAAAGACTTCCAGATCCATAAAATTAATAAAAATATGAAAGCAATACAAAAATTAAAATGCGTTTTGTCGGTAATACAGACAAGCATCGTCTTAAGAATTCTAACGATTAAATTCACCTTTCATCAAATAATGGCAAACAATAATATTTCTTTAGTTACATTAATACTGATTCTTTCTTCTTCTTCTTCTTCTTCTTCTTCTTCTTCTTCTTCTATATATAAGCTTAAAAAGCTTGTTTTACCTCTCTCTGTGCTTATGGTGCATATGCAGATGCATAGAAATATGAGACCTACATTTTATAATGCCAGTTCCGAACGATCTACTTTTGACAAAGTTCTATGAGCAGGAATACTCTCGTGTCTCCACTCAGATATCAGACCATCGAGTGGAGACACGAGCTCTTATTTCAATAATTATTACTGCACTAATACTGTATTGACGGACTGTATGTATTCATCTTTAGACTTGTTCTACAATGTATTGTGTGTCAGTGTCGCAAGCCGCAAGCCACAAGAATTGACCAATCACAGTCGAATATGGAGAGAATACTTGATTGTGATTGGTCTATTCTTACGGCCCACGATCCACGACACCGACACATGACATATTGTAGAACAGGCCTTAATGCTGTCCCCCGTAATCTACCAGTTTAAGACGAATACATATGGAGTGCGTATGTAGATGCTATTTCTTGCTCATGTAGAGATATTTCTTAAAAATTTGATTTTGTAAAATAATTTTCTTATGTATCGTTGTTTTCAGCGTAAAATGCTCTTTAATTTTTGTTCATATAAAAATGTAAAAATTTTTGACAATTAAGGATGGGATGGGAATATATATCAAAAATATTTTGAGTAAACATTTTTGAAAAATTTAAATACACTGTTGTAAAGTGCACTTGCAATCATAAAACTTTTATAAAACTTGCAATCATCAAAACTTTTGTTTAAAACTTTTTCCATATCTTTAACGGTTTGAGCGATATTCACTGAGGAAGAGAAAAATCACTTTTTTTTAAAGAGTAGTTTGAAAACCCCTCAACATGCAAGAACGCAGATATAAAAAAATATGTGTTTCTTATTTTGTTTATATTTTATTCGAAGCTTATTAAAAATTAGAGGGAGACGATTAGTTGTGTTTTCTTGTAAGCTATATCGTACGTTACATCATTTAAGGCTTATTGCAAGAACTTTTTTATATACTTTTTTTATATATTTTTTCTTTTACTGTGTTACTATATAATAGATGTTTTGTTTTTTAGAGGAATTAGTACAATTGCAATCTTAATAACTACCATAAATAATGCTTATTCTGTGATACAATTTACTGAGATAAATATTATTAAACAATATTTTTATTAGATTCTTTTACGTGCTTATGTTAAACTTTTCTTCTTTTTATTGTAATTAATATTGTATGTGGCTTTATCAAAATTTTTTAACTTAATCTTACTCAGAACTAGTTACATGAAAAGCTAATATAAAAATAAAATAAATTTTATTATTTAGATCCTATTTTGTAGCAAACAAAAAGTTATGTATTTTTGCATTTACAAAAGTTATGCGTTTTTATAAAATAACTTATTTTAGGCAAAAAAATTTGTCGAGGATATGACAGTTAGGGAAATATAATTAACTTTTAATATTAATGACAAATATTATGGTTTAGAATTATCATCTTTTATGAGATATATGTCACAGGAAAGCATAAGAAAGGTATATATACAAATCCAAAAATATTATATTGCATTTATATAAAACTAATTCAACATTAAAGTTTGTTATAAATTCATGCGATTCTGTTTGTCATATAGTTCTGTTTGTCATATGGGACTCATAATTTGCAAATTACTTTGAGATTGAAGCTACAATGCGTTGAACTGAATACAAGAGGTTTCTATTAATTTGCAATTTTTGTAGTAATTAATGTTTAATCCTTGTTGTAGCTATACTGATTTATTGTAGACGAGAAATAGTTTGCAATAATTGTTATAATTGTTATAATAAATAGCTTTATATTTTTATTTTTCTTAAACATATATAATAATTTTGTGATCGTAAAACTTGTAAAATATAAAGGAAACTGAAATATTTATATAATCTATCATATAGAAGTATAAAATAACTCCTAAAATAACTAATCATACTTCAAGAGACTTAGAGAGACTTTTAATTAAAAAATAATAACTCTTAATTAGAAAACAATTAATAAAATTTCACGATTGAGTGTGTCTTTGCACGATGGTTTATGTACCCCCTTTGTGTTTATGTACATTAACGATTTTACAGCTGTTTGTACGATCTGTGATTGTATGGTTTATAGCAACAGTGAATCACGTGCAACATTGAATAATTACTTTTAGCAGCGCTTACTTTTCAAATCTTAATTGCATGCTCATTCCTAGAATTTTACTAATTTATTTATTGTTAATTATTGCGATAGTGTAAAACATGCATTAGAGTGAAACATACTTTTCTATTCGGTTCAACTTTTTCTATTGTTTATCTTATGCAGTTATAGCTGAATATAAATCCATATAAGACATAACAGAAATGTAATATAGTTTTAATTTAAATATTAAGTTTAGATATCTCGTTTAATGATTTTTTAAAAATTAAATATTTCACAATGTGTATATTTATATAACAAAATAGATTATTATAGATACAACAATATATGAAGCCGAAGATTAATGAATTAATATCGATGGTTCAAAAATACACAGAAGCCGAATTTGAAATCCAGAGACATGTAAACTCTTATATAAATGATATGTATAGATTTTTTCTCTACATCGCTTGCTGATAAAATTACAGAATATTACATTGTATTAAATGATATTGCATTTAACTATATTAAAGATAGTGAGATATAATTACAACAAATTTATTCTTATCGTTTGAGAGATTTTTTGATATCATAATTTTATTATTTTCTTACAATATCTATCTATTGTAAACATTTTTATATTTAATTATTTTGAATATATTTATTTGAACGTAGTAATACAAATTATTAACCTTTAACATAAGAAATAATTTTGAGCAAATAAAAACATAAACTACAAGTATATATTTCTTTATAAATAGAAACAAAAAGAGAAATTGTTTTTTTTAGTATAAATATCTCTTAAAAAATAAATTTATTTGGAGTTTCAAAATTTTAAAAAATTAATTATTTATTAAAATTAGATTTCTATTAACATTATTATAAAAAAATAATGAAATTTTACAATAAATTAAAAATAACTTTTTATTAATATATTTGTAATCTATTAAATCAAAACTAATTGAATATAATAAACGTCTTACAAAACGTTATAAATTATTTAAAATGTTCATACATATCATTTTTAAATTTAATTAGTTATTTAATTAATTCAAATACGCTTTCAAAAAGTGATCAAGCTTTTAGATAGGTTGTATACACTAATTTTTATTTATATGTATCTATTTGTATTTAAACTTTTCATTACTAATAAATATTATTAACTTTACTTATATTTAAATTTAATGTTAATTGTACGTTAACGTTTTTATATCTAATATTTAAATTGATCATAATCTTTTTGATAATTTTTTTGATAATCTCTTGCAATCTCAAATTATGATGTCAAAAGTGAGAAAATATGTAACATCATATCTTAATTAAACATTAGAATAGATATCTTTTAATAAGAGAAATAATTGTTATAATCGATAAATAACTATACATTACTGGTTATATTATGATCTTATCTTTGATTAAGTTTATTTTATTAATTGCAAACGTTATTATGTGGGAAAATTCATCATTTCAATCATTTCAATTGTAATTACAAGAGATTTTATCATAGATCTTTTTCTTTCTATTGTCAATAATTCGGATTAATGTGTCAATGATATGTTGATAGAAGTTTTGATTCTCAGATATGTGCTTTTAATATATTTTTTTAATTGTTTTAAAATATTATAAAATGACACTTAATAATACAGTTTTTATTTTTATTTCAAACAATCATTATCATTTCTTAGTCAACAAGTTTTATTAATATTCTGAAAATGTGTATTAAGAAGAGAAGAAAAAAATTTACATAAGTCAAATTTTTAAAAAAATATTCAATCGTGGTACAAATAGCATTAATGTATTGTAAAAGTAAATAATATATTTATTATATATTTATTAGTATTTTGAACTCTTAAGATATTTAATTTTGTCTCAAAGTTTATTAGAATTTTTACAAAACACATGTATCAAATAATGTTTCAATTATTAAAGATTTTTACCAATTAGTTTACTTCCTTTGATACTATTTTATAACAACTTTTAAAGGAATGCTTAGAATTTAAGCCATGTGTACGGATGTATACATTTTTGTCGGAGTTTGCTCATCTATTCAATATTACCTTAATTTTGTATTTAACTACAATTGATATTTCGTATTGCACAAATACTGACGAATTTGTAATTTATTACCCAAAACAAAGTTTTTCAAATTTCTAAAAGAATTACTGGATATTATGTAATTGTATAGAGAAAATTATTTTATACTAAATGAATATTCTTATTTATTATTATTTGCAATTGCCTTAGCAAAGGGAAATTTCTATGTTGGAATATAATAATATTTCAGAGATATTCAATAAAAAATTTGGATATATGAAAGATATCAATAAAATATACTATTGTCCATATTTAAGAAAATGTAGAGATATAACTGATTTTAATTAAATATATTTTTATGTTATCCCTGAGATATCTATAATTATTATCTGCTCTTATTAAAATTTTAAATGTATATCGCAGGAATATTAAATATATTAAAAAAATATATTAGAGATTATTATGATAATTAATCATATCTGAGAGAAGTTTTCTAATAATAATAGCTTAATTTACATCGATTTATTTAATATGCATATTAACAAACTTATATGCATATTAAATTATCGATAAACTAGACATTGATATCCTAGACTGTATCACTTGTCTAAAAGATAATTAAAAAATATTTAAATTTTTATAAAGATAATCTTAATTAATAATTGTATTGTCAAAATATATTTAATTTATTTTCATTTTACAGCCTTTCATTTAAACGGGTTACATTTAGGTTATATTTAGCTGGAGCCTCATTTTGGAAATTTGTCTTCAAAAAACTATTTCATTGCCGAAATGATCTCATAACACTGCTCTCATAATACAATTTTTATTTTATCCTGTGTAGTTTATTCTCTGTGTAGTTTTATTTACGAGAAATAAAATTTTGCCGCGTCTATCTTACAGCAATGTCTGCTACAAATAAAATAATAAATTATACAAGTCAATTTATTATATAATATAAAATATTACATAAATCTGTGTAACCGTCACTTAACTGATTATTACTATATGTTTAAAGCTTACTAGTGATATGTTATGTTTATATATTTCATATTACTTATTATTATATCTATAATCATCCATATGATCATCGATGTTTGTTATCACAATTGTTTTATTTTGCAACAAACTGTCAAAGCAGAAAGATTGTGATTCTGGTTATAAGAATACATTATCATTTGTTAATCAGTTGTAATAGTAAGTACAACTTGATTGTTATAAAATACTTTAAATATTTATTAGCATATACGATTTTAGTTTATAAATTTGATCACTAGAAACAAAACACATACACACACAAAAGATTTCTGATCCTTAATCATACATCGCTTGTGTGCAGGTAAAGCTTAAACTAAGTAGAAAAATTCTCTACTTTTTTGTGATTTTTGCAATTAGTAATGAGTTGTTAATTATTAAAAATCACTGAATAAGCGTTCACTGGCAAATGCAAGTACAGCGACATGTTACTATTTATCTCTCAGCGCATTCATGGTTGGCACTATAATCAGATGTTCATTTGTAAATCACACATTCATTAAATATTTCAGCGTACTCTAGCAACCACAAATGTGCTAGGCGATTACAACTCACTGCTCTTATTCGATATTTGGCCCATGCAGATATTCAGCCATTTTTAATAATTAATAACTTATTATTAATTGCGAAAATTGCAAAATGATAGAGAACTTTTCTGTTTGACTGGCTCTACTTGCATACAAGCATATTATTTTAAATTAGACACCCTGTATATACATATATAATTTTATTATATAATATTTTATTATATAATTTCTGAATATAAAAGTGTGCTAAGATTCAATTATTAAGAAATTAATAACTTACGAAATATTTTATATTTCATGCCAAAAAGTACTAGAATATTATAAAGAATATATACTAATAAAAATAATAACAATAGAACAATTTTAACATTAATTCTATCTGCAAATAAATCGTAATCATATCATAATTAGTGACTCCCTTGAAACTTTACAATTTCTGTTATTTCTTTTGTCAATTGCTTTATTTAAAATATTCCATTGTTTGAATTAAAATAGGACACTCTGTATTAATATTTATGACCAATCAATTATTATCATATATTTGAAAGTGATTAGAGAGAGAGAGAGAGAGAGAGAGAGAGAGAGAGAGAGAGAGAGAGAGAGAGAGACGACGTAA